TCTTTTTTTCGTATTAATGATAAAACACCTTTTGGCATTCTGTATCTTTGTCCCTAAATAAGCGTAGATATAGTCCTACAGTTATTATAATTACTTATATTTAATCTAGTAGGATCATGAGATATTTACTTAAGTATTATAACTGTTAAACCATGTTCCTAGTCGACGGGTTACGCTACCAATGAGGATATCGGCCTTTCCCATTAGAGACTAGCACTTAGTTTATGTGTACTGCGTCTCATCAGTAAATGGTATTATGATATCGGCATACATAAGTGGGTGATCATAAGTTGACGAGTTCACTGAACTCCCTCATCTAGAAATCTCTAAGTGGTTCTCAATAATCGAGTAGAGATCTCTATGATATAGTTGTACACCATTAGTCCTTAAGACCTAGACATCACCGTGACTTCACCGAGGACCTGTCCCTGAGTTCCACGGAGGACCGCCCCATGGGCCAGTGTTCGTGCAGTCCAAAATCTAGTGGGAGGTTTGTGCATTGTAGTCGGGATTCGATCACTAGAATAGTCTTGGATGTCCTGTGTGTTCTCATAGTTTGTAATATTTAAGTCTCTGGCCAGAGCTGACTAAGTGATGATTAGGAAATGTGATTCTCTAACAACCATTGCCGACGCAAGATCATTACTGACCCGTTTTGTACGAGATGCAGAATAATGGAAACAACCATGCATGTTGTCAAACAATGTCGTGGAATGGATGAAGTGTGGTCTAAATTTCCATTCACCGCACTTTTCCTCCCCCATAATCAGAATTTTGGAGCCACTAGGCCAAAACAGCTCACTGGCGACGTTTTTTTTTTGCGACGATTTAGATATAGTCGCAACCTTGCGACGAATTACATTAAAAAACGTCGCCAATTGTCGAAAAACAAGATTTCGGTGGAAATCTCGCGACGAAAATATTAATCGTCGCCAAGTGGCGACTATATTTCTAAAAACGTCGCAAATGTCCTCTCTTAGCGACGTATTTCTATAAACGACGCACGAATTTTTTTTTTGCAATTTATTTTTTTACCTTCGCGACGAATATGACGTATACGTCGCTAGTGCAATTGTCAAAAAAAAATATTTTATTGTATTTGCGACGAATTCGAAAAAACGTAGCGTACCAAAGTGGAATTATTAAATAATGTTTATTCTTCGCGACGAAAGTGTACTAAACGTCGCTAGTAAAAAAATTGTTTAAAAAATTATAATTATTATTTGCGACTATAGTGTATTAATCGTCGCCAAAATAATTATTGGAAAAAAAATTGTTTTTATCTAGCGACGTTTCCTTAATTTTGTTGTGTGCGACGAAAGAGGTAAAAATCGTCGCTACGAGATTCGTTTAAATTGAGTTCGCTACGATTTGTTACAAATCGTCGCAAAGATTTTAATTAGAGTACAGACCCTAATTCGATTTCCCCAATTTTCTCTAACCAGTTTCTTTCTCTCTTTCACTCTCTCCGTCGGCGCCTCCCCCTCCGTCTGCCATCTGCCGGTGCCACTCCCTCCGACGGCGCCTTCCTCTCCGCCGGCGCCTCCACCTCCGCGTCCGCCGCCGCCGTCGGCCGCCCCTTCGTCTTGCTCGTCCGCCGTCCGCCGCAACTCTCTGCCCAGCTCTCCGCCCAACATCCGGCGAGCTCTATACGGCGGCGCCGCCACCTCCCTTCTCCCTACGGCCTCGTTGATCTGTATCTAGCCTTACTTTCCTCGTCTCTACCTAACCCTCAATCAACAACCACAAAAAGGTAACTTTGTTGCCCTAATTTTTTTTCATTTGATTTGAAATTCTTATAAAATTGATTTCAAGCAAATATCAGATTGATGAAATTAGGGCACTCGATAGGCAAATATCAGATTGATGATATTAAAAAAAAAATTGTTTGAGGATGATGATACAGTGAGAAATATAGAATAATTGTTTACCTTTTGGTGTTGATTTTAGTGAGACGTTGAATGTAATATAAATATATAATACATGTACAAATTTTTAGTAAATTATATTGTTGTGTTCTTTTGACTTTGTAGTTGATGAATTGTGAAACAGTGAAACTAGATTTTGGTTAGTTAATAGTTTTTTGATCACACTTGAGCCGATAATTAATTGTACGTAATTGACGAAATCTGTTCGTATATGTTCAACTTTAATTTAGTTTTAATTTTCTATATAATCTTCACTTAATTTAGTTTTAATTTTCTATATAATCTTCACTTAATTTAGTTTTAATTTTCTATATAATCTTCACTTAATAGAAATCTGTTCGTATATGTTCAACTCAGGCGAGCGATGTCGGAGGAAGATATTTCTGTTGATCATATAGGTACCGAGTCTACAGGTACTGACGTGGTTGATTTGGAGTTTGACGAAAAGGGTCACTACAACAAAAATGACTTTTAATAGCATAATTTTATAGCATTTTTGCGAAGAGTGCTATAATTGTTTTTCCGATACTTTTAATAACTAATAAAAACGCTATAAATTGATTTACTTTTATGGGCCGCTAAAAACTCTAAAAAAATCACATATTTTAGGCATATAATAAATTTCCTTCATACGCCGATCCCAATTTCCCATCGTCAAAAAGCCCTTTATCTTAGAACAGTGTTTCTCCGATTCTCCGTTTCTCTTCAAGATAAAAGTGCCGGCGGTTCTATCTGTTGTTTCCACTACTCAGTCATATGCGGCATCTCTCCGACGGTTCTCTCTCCATATGCAGCCATTGGAGGTGTCTCGCGGCAGAATTTCATTTCCATGGGAGCCAAAAAATTGTATGTTTCTAGATTATCTTCTCTCTCTCGATCCAGCACCGATCTTCCGACGCAATCATGTTGGTTCCTTCGAATTTCCAGTCATAATAAGGAATCGCACTTTTTGTTTTCTAATTTTCGTTTGTTTTTTTTTTGTTTTTAAAAAAAGCCCTAATTTAAGTTCACTAAATTACTCTTTATTATTGAAGACTCCATGTTTATAATTTTTGGGTTGTTGTCAATGTGCAATAGAAAGAGACAATTTTGTGTATGTTGGAATTGTTACCCTCTGTCTGCCATCTTCATCTTCATCTTTTTTTTTTTATATATATGTTGGAATTGTTACCCTCTGTTTGTATCTGTTTAATACATGTATATATCTATATACTAATGCAAGTCTGTAATTGAAAAATTTGTTATATTTGATTTCGATATGGCATTTGAAGATTAATTAGATAAAACGTATTTTTTATTTTCAAAATGTTATTGCCTTATATCCTCTAATGAAGTTTGAATTTTCATTTATGACTTTTTGTGGGTTTATGTCTTTCTTGGACTGCAAATATACTATTGATGGTATTTCTTGTCTAGCTTACCCTTTTATTCTTATATTTGTGAGTATTCCTTGAATTTTCTTTTTTGGAGTTTCTTGTTTACATAGGAATGTTGTAATGTGTGATGATTGACTATATAGTTTATTTTTATCTTAGTTAGTTCGGTGTGCATGTATTTGGATGTTTGACAGATACTTCTTCGCTTTGCAGTTTTAACTTCCGCACATATCAATCTCAGCTGTTAGAACTTGCAAGACGAAACAAATTCCAATTACAAAGGTATTTACTTTGGGAATTAATCTTCATTGTCAAGTTTAATATGGTAATTATTGATCGCCTGAGGTTTGCCATGTAGAAGTAGAATTGAATCTCCTAAATTTCTTATTCGCAAGCTTTAATTTTCTTTATAGAGTTTTTTATTACTTTAAAATTGGAATTCTGGCTACTTTTAATTTTAATAAATTGTTGCCAGGAATATCAGTAAAGAACACAGTACATTGAAGTAGTTGTCTGTTTAGGTTTCTTTCCGCAAGCTCTGATGCCCTGTGAATATTAACTAGTTACACAGATAACACCCTCATTCTCATAACCCTATTGTTGTCATCATGTTTGAGATCAGTTTATATGAAAAATAATATAAATTTATAGGAGGGCGATAACATATTCTACCCCTTTTATGATCTTAAATTTCTTTATCTATCATGATTTTCTGAATCATTGCACATCAAAAATTATCTCTTTAATTTTTTTGCCCCCATTAATTAGAGTGGGATAGATAGTTCATTTTATTTTTTTGGTGTATATGAACAATTCCTAAATTATGTGCATCTCTTTGAAGGTCTTCATCTGAGATGGAATTTATTGAAGTTGGCATCGCCGTTGCAATAAACTGGTTATGGTTTAGAGCTCAGTAAGATGTTACATTTGTTGTATTGTTTTCCAACATATATATTAGAGTCATTTTATTTTACATAAGCTAATTAAGTAATTTACGTTCTCCTCTTCTTTTGTAATAGGTGATGCAGTCAAGGATGCAGTCAAGGATGACTCTGAACTAGTTTTTTGTTGTGACATTGTCTTTTTTCTTTTTTCATTAATGAGTATGAATACTAGAAGATTAATGTTAGAGTTTGTGTTCTATAGACAATTTGGTTGAGATGTTTTTAATGACAACTATTTATTCTGTATCATCTTGTTATTCTATAATTTTTTTTATTATTAATGAATGCCCCAATATGCATGATATTACTAAAAGCTAAAAGCTAATAAAAGGTTGTTCAAATAATTTATAAAAGCGATTACATAATTCTATAATAAATTATTTATATCAGTTTATTAATTTTTTTTCTCATCTTTAATAGCATTTAGGACAAGCCATCACAGAGTTACAATAGCATTTGACGTAAGCTACAAAAAGACATACAATAGCATAAAAAAAATGCTACCATAGCTTTACAATAGCGTTTCATCACAGTTGTACAAATCCATACAATAGCACTTAAAAAACGCTATAGTACGTGTAAATATAATAGCGTTTAAAGAATGCTATAAAAGAACCGAGACCTATTATAGCTCCGGCAGACATAGCCTTTTCAAAAACGCTATAGAATCCTATAACAGCGTTTTTCAAACGCTATGGATGGTGATTTGTGTTGTAGTGGGTATTCCCGTTGCACCTGGGAGGTACAAGTTGGCCGTGGCTATTAGTAACGAGGTTACGCATTGGGATAATTTTGATCCATGTATTTCTTGGCCTAACCACACAAAAATGGGCCATGTCGAGGGATTGTGGAAAGCGTTTAAGGTATTTGTATGTAATTTTTATTTTATTTAAGTTATTTAATTTTTTGTTTCATTTCAATTGTATATTTTTTATATTTTATTTAGGAAACTTGGAAACTTCCTGAAAATGAGGCTACAAAAAAATGGTTCAATGAGACTGCTAACGGTCGTTGGAAAGATGGAAAAACTAAACGATTGAAGGCAGTCTTTGATAGAGCTTCAGACCTTGCCACGGCTAAGGCAAATTGTCCAAATAGGATTAGTGTTCAAACTTGGGAGAAACTATGTGATCAATTTCATTCTATTTCCACTCCTGGTGTTGATGGGAAGGTAAATTATATATATTTAATTTATGGAAAATGTTTAAATATATTAAAGAGTTTTAATTTTTTGTGTTATTGTTCATAGTCCAAATCAACCAAATGCAAGGATTCGCGAAAGAAAGTCTCGACAGACCACCATTGGGGTCGAACAAGTATCAATAGTTGGTCCCACAATCATGTAAGTAATTTGATCTATAAGTTTAATTTATTTAAGTTTAAAATAGATACTTACTTTATAATATTTTAGTATAGTTTAAAAAATTGGGCAAAAATCCTACGGTGTTTGATACGTATAAGAAAGCATATATGGGCATTGATGTACTGAGGGAAACCGGGCCAACTATTAGTGAGGAAGGAGATACAGAAGAACCGTATAATGGGATAGCAACTCCTGAACAACTTCGCATTTCGGTAAGTGTAATGCAATTTTATTCTTCAATTGGTTGTATGTTAATTATTTATGTTTATTGTTGTCGCATGTTTATCATATTTAATTATTTGATATGTTAAATTAGTACGTAGTTGAGATATGTGGATATGAATATTTGTTTTAAATAATGTTAAGTTGTTGTATACATGGATGGTTTTTTTGGGGATGTTCATTTATTAGTTGTTATGCCGTTGAAATTTTTGCTAAACAAGTGTACTTAATCATTTTCAGGCTGATTTGGAACGAGTGTACGATGAGACAATTCGTGATGGAAGTGACGAAAGCACGGCCAACTCAATTGCGATAGAAAAAGTGCTCGGAAAAAGCAAAGGGCTTGGAATTAAGATTGCAACCACCACAAAGAGTTCAAAGTCGAGATTTTCTTCAATTCTGCCGGAAGTGCAAATGGAAATGAATTCAATGAAAGAGCAAATGCAACTTAAAGATGAAAAAATGGAAAGATTGGAAGCGGAATTGAAAGAAACCCGAGAAATTGTGAACACCTTAGTCGGTCGTTTTGGACTACAAGCCTCGACATCGACTCCTTCCAATGATGGTGGAGTATAAAAAGGGATGAATTTTGTTTGGTTTTTGAATTAAAGTTTGAAACACTACATTATATGCTTTTAAGTTTTTATGTACTTTTTTAATTTATGTTTTGTGCTACCTTGACACGATCTTAATCCGTATCAATGGTTTTAATATTTTCGATATAAGTGTATTTTTTTTTTGTACAACTGCAAAATACAGGTTGAATTTCTTAATTGGAAAAATAAATAAACCAGAAATTATATTAAAAAAAAAAAAAAAACCTAGCGACGAATAAATAAAACAATCGTCGCAAATAAATCGTGGAACTTGCGACGAAAACTGTTATCAGTCGCAAACTTATTCGCAAACGTAGCGACGAAACCGTCACAAAACGTCGCTTAAAATAGCGACGAAAAACCTACTTCGTCGCAAAGGGTTGCGACTTATTATTTGTTCGTCGCAACTGGTAAGCGACGAAAGTATATGATCCGTCGCGAAGATTAAAAAAAAACATTTTTTTCCAAAAAATACGAATTTAGCGACGATTTATGCCATTCGTCGCCAAATGTTGCGTCGAAAATATCGTTTCGTCGCAGACCTTGCGACGGGTCGTTTGGCGACGTTTTTTGTAGGATTTGGCGACGGAATAAATTCGTCGCAAACCGTAAAAAATCGTCGCCACATGCACATTTTCGTCGCCAAATTTCGTCGCCAGTCGACCATTTTGGCCTAGTGAAAGCTTGGCTCAAGAAACCTAAACCATCCCTCACGATACTCTGCATCTAGCTATAGTGACTATGGAAAGCCTGAGATAATAGAAATAAAGATGTTTATGGTGAAGAAATTATGACGAATGCCGACATTCTTGCGTGGGGAACATCCTTCTTGGTGGCCTTTTCTCAAACACACTTGCGGGACCAGCCTATCAAACCGGCAGATCACCCGCGAAATGGAAACCCCCTTCTCCGGGAACTTCCAAAGCGAATTTCGATGCAGCCTTTCCTAAAAATTCACAGTGGCCTGGTTTACTATTTCAGTAGTGGTTCGTGGCTGGTGCGAGAACTGTATCTAGTGGTGTGCTAAACAAATCGACGGAAGACCAAGGCCGGTTGAGGGAGAAGCACTCTTCGTCCTATTACAAAATCAGTGGACGCGGGATGGCCCTCGATAATTTTTGAAGGTGATAATTAATCTCCAGGTTATTGAAGCCCTGCGAGCGGGCTCTCCGACGACTTTGGTATCTCATTGTGCTCTTATTGAAGATTGTTTATTCATACCTTCTAGATTTGATAACATTTCTTTTGAGTTTGTTAAACGGGATGGGAACGCTCTCGCACATGCTATTGCAAAATTGTATTTTAATTCTAATATTAAAGGTTATGACCTTCCCTCAAATTTGTCACATATGTTGCCTAATAAAATTCCATCATTCCCTCCAAAAACAAAATTAATAATAGTATACATACGATCATTGATAACACTATAACAAATAGAAATTAATTAATAAATTAATCAAAGAATGAATTAATAAAATAAAGATTGCATAATATATAATAATGCACCCTTCCTTTAAGCAATATATAGTACTCATGATGATCTGGGCTCCTCCTTGACAACTTCTCCAATCTTTACAGTTCTAACTTTAAACCTCTCCATTTTTTCCGAAATCGAAGATAACTCGACCAACTCCCTCGTCGCAAAAGCACGATCACTTTCATTATTCTTGCACACATCCCCGTCGTCGTCGGAGAATATTCTCGAGCGCCATTGGATTTTCTCCATCAAATCCGACAACAATTTCACCCTGGATTGCTTGATTCTGTCAACAAGGAATCTTTCCAGGGGAATCTCCTTCTCGATCTCGAAGAAACATTTCCTCAGCAAAAATTCGCGTGTTCTTATATCTACTTCTTTCAAGCATTCCACTAGAATCTGAATCAGTTCATCCACAGCTTCCGATTCTTCCGTCATTTCCGGGATTCTTGTTTTTCCCTCAAACCCTAAATATTGTTGATTCATTTGAAGGATTTTTGTCTGAATAAAAAATTCAAAGTGCATGGGAGATGAATATAAGTGAAATATAAAAAGCCACGGCCAACTTCTATATATATATATATATATATATATATATATATATATATATATATATATATATATATATATATATATATATATATATATATATATATATATATATATATATATATATATATATATATATATATATATATATATATATATAGAAGAGAATATGTTTTTGAGCTCCTTAGTCATGATAAATGTTCTTTTATTTTTCACAGGTTTTCTGACAGTTGAAAGCATGAGATATATTTGACTTGGACTAATTAATTATTACTATAGATGGTAATGCTATTTGCAAAGGATTAGGTATAACTTTAACCCCACATATTACATATGCAGTTGTTCCACTTTTTATAAAATCTATGTTTTATTATTATTAATAATACATCTTTATATTTTTTTTAAATTAATTCTTGGTGATTGAGTTTGAACCCTGACGTGTTTTTTTTAATGGACCGAATGTGAAATAATGTTATTAAACTTACAAGAATTTATTTAAAAACTTATATAATCAGTTCTTTATAATACTAATGTAAGATCAAATAAATAAAGTATTTTATTTATTATTGATAAATATATTTCACGTATAAATAAAATATGCATATTTAAATATGTATTTTTTTTATTAATATTATTTTCTTAGTTCAGAAACTAATATTTGATGAGTTGGGTTCTGGTTCAGGTCTTAGATTTTATCAGATAATTTTATTAAATTTATGAGAATTATTTTAAATATGAAAATAAAAATATGTATAAATTACCTAATGATGGTACAAGTATGGGTAATGCTATATTAGAAAGTGAAAATAATTATTATTATTATTGATATTAAATTATAGTATCAATTGTGCACTTAGAAATGTTCATTAAATTTTTGCGTCATTTGTACGCACCAATTATGTCAGTACTAGAGATAATTATTTAGAAAATTGCTTGAGATTTGGTAATAATATGACAAACATATATTACCAAGAAACAAACAATATTACAAGACTATCTTAAGGCTGCTAATTCTAATATGTACAACTGGATTTAATATTCCAATTAATTAAGAATATTTAAATGCTCATTTGTGTTTACACACTGGAAAACTGTTCAGTATCTTGACAAAATTAACTAATAAAACATAAGATACAATTTTCTTTAATATTTTTTAATAAATATTAGTAAATTTTAATATATAAATTAATGTAAATACGTCTAATTCATGTATAAACACGGAAAACGCATAAATTAGTGAAAGAAGATACTCTCTATGTTCCCTTTTAATAGTCGTTTTTAGCTTTGCACACAAATTAATGATTTCATTAAATGTGTCTTGATTTTATGAAAAAATGTATGCTTTTAGACTAAAATGACTTATCTTATAATTAATAAGAAAGATAAATGAATTAAAAAAGAGTATTAAAAATAGTTAATAAGCGTATAAACTAGAAATTAATTAAGTAATTAATTAAAAAGAATAAAAAAGAAATAATAATAATTAATGCAGTATTGAAAATTTAAAACTGACAGATAATATGGAACTAAATATTTCAAAAAAGAGACAGTTATTATAGAATAGAGTGAATAATATATATTGTGCAATTTTATTTAACGCAATAGCAATCACACGTGATAAAATCAATGGGATTGTCCAACAACAAAGAAATGATGATTAAAGACTCTCATCCGATAGTGAAGAGTGAAAACTATTTGATGATTATTCTAAATTTAGTTGGACTTTTTCAATGAAATATCGCTCATAAGTATTGTCAATGTACATAATAACTTGGCAAAAATGTTGAATATTAGCCTAAAGGCTCCTCCAATATCGAGCTACGAAACACCCAACACTACCGCCAATAGCAGCTGCTAACCAATGGGACGACCTAGCTACTCCAGATGGATGTTAAAAATATTTTTCTTAATGGAGAGTTGTCCGAAGATGTTTATATGCAACTTCCGCCTGGAGTACTATCTATTGATCCTGACAAGGTTTGTCATCTTCGTCGTGCTATTTATGGTCTCAAAAGCAAGCTCCACGAGCCTGGTTTGTGAAGTTCAACTCCACTATGTCTCGATTGGTTTACTACACCAGTTCTTATGATTCTGTTTTATTTCTCCGTCGTACCGACAAATTAAAGGTAACGTCTTACATATTCTATATGTGGATGATTTAATCATAACTGCTGATGATCCTAACAGAATTCAAGAACTGAAGAATTTGATCAATCAACATACAGTTTAAAATGAAAGATCTTGGTCATTTGAGCTACTTAATTGAGACTTGAAATTACTCATTCCAAATATGATCTTTATATTAACCGGGCTAAATATTGACATAGGCTAAATTATTATAGATTTTATAAAATAATAAATATTAAAATTGTATCATTTCACAAAGCATATCTACACTACAACAAATATTAATGAATTAAAGAATATTGAGTAAAAGAATATAATGCTATATACATAATAATCTCCCTCTCCTTTAAGCAAAACCATATAATTAATTACTCATCTGGCCTCCTCTTTTACAATCTCTCCAATCACCACAGTTTTAACTTTAAATCTCTCCAGTTTCTCCCCTCCGGATATTTCAACTTCCCTCGTCGCAAATACGCAGTTAGTTTCCGTATTCTTTTCGTCGCTAAATCCCTCACCCCAATGCATCTTCTGCAACGAATCCGACAGTAGCTTCGCTCTCGTGTGCTTCATTCTGTCAACAAGGAATCTTTCGAGGGGAATCTCCTTCTCGATCTCGAAGAAACATTTCCTCAGCAGAACCTCTCGTGTTTTCACATCCGCTTTCTTCAAGCACTCCACCATAATCTGAAGCAATTCGTCAACAGCTTCCGATTCTTCTGTAATCTCCTGGAATCTTGCTTTTCCGTCACCTCCGGCCCGAAAGCCCGGATCCGAAAACCCGGATCCATTTTGATCGTAGGCACAGAACTCTGGGTTGTTCATTTGGTAACAGTTTATAGGGTGTTGTGGGAACTCTGAGTACTGATCCATGTTGTTCATGAACTCTTGTTGATAATTAAATCTGCGACTAAAAGAATTTGTCT